CACCCAAAAGTAAACAGTTTTGAAAAAATAGGATCATTTTAGAATTCAAAACAATTCATCATTTACTGAACAAATATGATTTTAGAAAATAAATAGACCATTCATATAAATAATATACAATTTAAGTCTTTCATTTCGTATTATCGTTCTTGTTTTCTTCGATAAACGGTCGACATCAACCAACACGAACCTCGAGTCGGCCATCTTTGTTTTGACAAGGAGAGAAATTTAGCGGGACAAAAAACGATATCCGGGACAAAAAACGATATCCGGGACGATATCGTTTTTATGTCCCGCTGCTTCCTACCTGATAAAGGTACAAGTATGTGATAATATATATATATATATATATATATATATATATATATATATATATATATATATATATATATATATATATATATATATATATATATATATATATATATATATATATATATATAGACCATCATACATCATCTGACACACTTGGACTATGATACACCATCTGACAACCACCTGACACAACCACCTGGTTTGCGAAGGACAACCTTTATTGAATTAGCTATATATATATATATATATTATACCTCACAATGATTATTATATAGCTATATATATATATATATATATTATACCTCACAATGAGCTTGTCCAATCAGAGAACTAAATTTGTACCACGTGACCATGGTATTTTTCAGCGAATACTATGACCTAGGCAATTTGAACCCTGGGTGTTTTACCCGGGGCCATGGCATTCGACTTCGAATACCACGCTTGAGTGGGAAATTCGACTTTTTTAAATGTAAAGTTATCAAAAGTGGTGTTTTGAAATTAAAAGTTAATTGAATGGTATTTGTTTTCTACTTATTTTTGAAAGGTTCGGTATAATATACCATTTATAGACCTTTCACTCGGGGTATTCCACAAAAAATTACCCTGCGGGATGAAATGGAATATTTCATCCCTCAGGGTAATTTTTTGTGGAATACCCCTCGTTTCAGGTCTATAACTGATAAATATATATATATATATATATATATATATATATATATATATATATATATATATATATATATATATATATATATATATATATATATATATATATATATATATATATATATATATATATATATATATATATATATATATATATATATATATATATATATATATATATATATATATATATATATATATATATATATATATATATATATATATATATATATCGACCATCATACATCATCTGACACACTTGGACTATGATACACCATCTGACAACCACCTGACATACTTCGACCATCATACACCATCTGTACCATCTTCACCATCTGACAACCCTTCCCTGTATAACCATCATACACCATCAGATGCCTGTATTGGACATTACTCGCAATTAACTCATTTGCTTTGTGAAAAGCTTTCCCACATTCCGTGGTCCATTTCCACCGTCTATCTTTTTCGGGCAACTTAACTGGTTCATAACTCTACTGGTTTAATGGCTGAAGTAAGGTAGAATGCTTTCCAAGGAAATTGTGGTAATAATTAATGTAGTCTTCCTCGCAGCCTGTTCGCGTGTATTCCCATTATAATTAATGAGACCAACAAAGAAACGAACTTTGGAAACATTCTCAGGACGTGGTGCACTTAGCACAGCATCCACTTTCTGTTGGAACTGGCCATGCGAAGCACCCAAAATATGCGAGTCGCACATGAATATTGAGATCATAAATTGAAAGTCACAAGGCAACATGTGTCGACATTTCTACTTAACATGCGCATGCGTTGAAATCAGATTTTGTTGCAAGTTGCAGCAATTTTGTTGCTGGTGTAGCTCCACCTTAATATAATCTGAAAGTAGAGATATCAAAATAAATATAAAACCCCAAGATCTGCCGACTAAATCCTAAAAATGCGTGGTTTGAACATGTCAAAATGTTGAACATCTGAATTTTTGAAAAGTGAATCGAGCCACTTTTTTGTGCTCACTTTTAGCATGGATAATAAAATAAATGGATAGAAGTCTAGCTGACGTAAGGAAAAACAACGTAGTTGCAATCTGTGACGTCACGCGTATTGCAAAGTTCTCAGCATTTTTGTCGTTTCGCTATACTTTCCGCTTTAAAAGAGTAATATTGAAGCAGATACTGGTCTAATTGTTTTAAAAACATGCCTAAGCCACGACAAAGTATTCAAGGTAAATGTTTTTCGTCTTTGTTTTGTATTTTTTACATTTGCAGCTGCGAAATTGGCGTCCCCAATTTTAACGAAATTTGGGATGCCTTTTTCACTGTTTAGTGCTTGAAATATTTGCTAAAATTGACTGGGACTATACTTAGAAATTTCATCGTAGAATGGCGTAGTTATATTTATTTGCTCTTTGACTAAAATATTTAGCTGTATTATTGCTAAACATGTCGTTTTTGAGAATTTGGTTTACAACTAGGTTTCAACATCCAATCACGCCATCAGCCCATTGAAAAGATTAGGTCACGTCAGATTTTAATTCATTATCTGGTATCCGGCTGCCCAATGCCGGATATTATTCATATAGGGTTCAGGCCTTCTTTTCAGATTAGAAAATGATTTGATAAGGTCATCATATCATGATCATTGAAGTAAAAATATGATAAATATGATCAGTATTTTCAATGCTTGTTTGTACAGTAAATAGGGATTTGAACTTTTAACTGATGTAAACGAGGCTTTTGCTACCAATGATGCATGTTTGCTACCAATGATGCAGGTTTACTAGTTTTAGACTGTTTACTTTTTAACCAAATAAAATTATTACCAGTACTTAACCTTAAATGATGCCTGAACCTTATATAATTATTTGAATAATACCCTTAATCGGGCTGGATATTTTTCAGCCATCCAGCATATCCTGTATCTGGCTGGATAGCAGAAATACTCTGTCCTGCACACCCCTAGAAAGAACCGAAAGTAGGCAATTGTTTGGAGGAAATTGTTTCTTCGGTGTTAATAGGTGAAATGAGTCCATGCAGTCGATAAGTAAAATTGTCTAGCATGAGACGTCACAGTTCAATACTAAAAAGTACTTAAAGTAGGGAGTGTTAGGGAAAATTGCATCTAAATATGTCAACATGAAACATAGGCAAAATCTAGCTACACACAAATTAACTTGTCCGGCATTAGGAAAGGTGACATAATTTAAGAAAGTGCTGAAAACTGGGTTAATTGGAGTGAATTGGGTTGTTACATATATTACTAAGCAGATCATGTGGGTGGTGTAGCTAGCTAAATGTATTCATGAGTTTGAACAAACAAACAAACTAAGGACTTTAACTGTTTCCAATTACGGAGACGTCCATATTCAAGTTGCCACACAAAACATCAAATTGACATTTTTATCTAAGCCGATCTATCCATCCTTGAAAACTTCAAGCATGACATACAAAGAAACTTGGAATTTAACCCCCCCCCCCATTCCATTGATGTCTTAGTACATCTTACTATTATCAGTCTCAGAAGATTCTACTCTTAGACTCCCTCCCCCTCTGGATGACTAAAATGTCCTTTGCATCTAAAAGGGTTACAGTAAATATGAAATGTGACCCTCTGATGTTAGACATAGTAAAATCATGAAGTACTGAAAGCAGTCTGGCTTTTATCTTAATAATGTGTTAACACAAAATGTGGGCAGACAATCTAGTTTCAATGAAAGGTTAAAACCTTTTAAGTCCAACACACTCCCCATTGACAAACAAAATCACCATGCAGGGGGTGATTGTTCGAAAGCCGATAAGTTAACCTTAGATTAAGCAAACTTCCTAACAGTTTGTTTATAAATTTGGAAATATTTCTTTAGACATCTTGTCTGGATCAGTACCATTGATAGGAGTTTTCTTTTCATAATTTTAAAACAAAAAGATACTGTATGTAGAAATACATAAATTTTAACTACGGGTTAGGGTTAATCCAGCTATGCAGGCCTCAAAATATCGGTCGGTCATGGACATTGTCCGACCCATTAGTGAAATTGTCCGACGTAGAGAGGAAACCACCAGACATTCTGTCCGACCAAAGTGAAATTGAGGTTTGTTGTTTGTCCGACCTGAGTGTATTGGTGTCCGACAGAACTGTAGCTTTGTCCAACGTAAATCAAAATGTACCCTACCCCAGGACTAGTGGCTCGTATGTTAAATGGAAAATCAGAGTACTATAGACCTTATTCATAAATCGTGATGAGGCCTCTATCCTAGGAAACAGGGAAAACGCGGGGAAGCTCTGTAGCTTAATGGGTTAAATTTGGGTATGTAAGTGCTAATGGTAACTGAGACATGCACACACAGTCTGTTAATCCATCACAACATCACATCTTAATGGGTTCATGGAATACCGTAAATCTCGGACTATAAACCCTGGGCTATATATTTGGTGGGCTTATACAAAGGGGGGGGGGTTACAGTATATAGGAGGGATAGAGCTTATACATGGACATTCAATCTTTTGTGTTAGTATAATAAACAAGTCAGTCATAAACAGGAAAATAAACACATAGTAATAAGGCACTTTGATTAATTAACGACGTTTTGTTG